GTTGACAAACATAACAAAACTGATTAAAAACAAATGAAGAGTACAATTTCCCCTTTTCTTTATGTATCATCTAGATTTTCGATACCAGAATAAATTCCGAAAATAACACGAACAATCAGTCCTTAAATGGGAGAACGCGAGATTACCTGCAGAAACCAACCAGAAGAAGAACTGCAGTGACAAAGCGCCGGCGTGTAAGAGAGAGAGGAGGTCGGCGGTGAATTCCCGACAGGGAGGATTGTTGAGTGAAGGGAGGCGGGAACCGAAAGCATTGGGGATTTGGGGGGAAGAAGAATTCTGGAAGAAGAACCCATTTGGAACCTTTTATGGTATATGTATCTCCAAAGCAAAGCGGAGATCAATATGGGGATGTAGCTCACATGGTAGAGCGCTCGCTTTGCATGCGAGAGGTACGGGGTTCGATACCCCGCATCTCCACATTTTGTTAATATAATTTAATTTTTGATGAAATATGATTTTTAAAAATAATTTCCTTAACTTTTTAAATTCTCAAATAACGTTACAAATAGTGTCTTTGAGGAAATTTTTTATTATCTAATTTTTCATGAACTATGAGTTTTAATATTTTTTCCTTAACTTTTTAAATTCTCAAATAACGTTATAAATAGTGTCTTTGAGCAAATTTTATTTGTAACTTGTATCTAGCGACTAGCGTTACTTGTACTTTGTATTATATTTTAATTGGTGGGCCTAACATAAAGAGTTCAATGGATTCATTTTGTCCATTACTCCAACTGGACCTGTATTAGTTCTATTATTGACCACTAATGGACCAATCGTTGTGAACTATTTGATTGATCAATGGGGTAGAAATTTTTAATGAATGGGCCTATTATTTGGAGTGAAGATTTATAGTATTAATTTTGGATTATATGGTCACGTCATAGTTGTAAGTTGTCTAACCAAAAGTCATTGCCTCATTGGGGCTTTACCAATGTAATTAAATAAGGTGGTTAGTAATGACTTATTTATCGAAACCTGTTTATATCACTTCTATGTGCATATTTAGTGCGAGTCATATGTCATATTAGTGACGGATTATCAAAAAATTAAAATTTTGGACCTCTATACCATGGCCGACTCTATGTTGAGATTTTTTAAGCAAGCGCTTAGGGCCCCCAATTCTAAGTGGTCCCATATTCTCCAAAGTCCAAAAGTTTAGTTCATTAAAAAATCCAATTCGGTAACCACAAAATAAATGAAGCGGAAGAATAAATCAACGATCGCTGCATTCATGAAACTAAAATGACATTGCATTCTTCTACCGATTTTGATTTTTGCGACATATTCTTCTTCCGAGTATAGCAAAGGCCAAAGGGCCCCAAATTTTTGGCTCGCTTTGAGCCCCCAAAACGGTTGAACCGCCCATGAGACTGACCCTGCTTTTAAATAAACAATTATTGTTCAGAAAAAAATCTTCCATTAATATCGTCACTGCAACACTTATTTTGAAGTGTTATAATAAAATCTAGAAGTAAAACTTCTATCATGGTGGCACTTATTTTAAAAGAGCTTCAAGGGAATCCAAGTCAACATTTTTACAAGTTTGATTAAGATTTTTTTTTACTTATAATTTTGACACTAGTTTTAAATCAATCTTTGTTTACATGGCACTATAATCAAATTTGTTGACATAAACATATAAATACACTCTACATTTTGTATATTTTTATCAGAATCATGCCAAAACTATACAAACAAAAATACAAGTGAATTAACATGTCCAAAAGAAAACATAAAACACACAAATGAAAATTTTCAAACTCAATGAAATAAGTATTTAAAATCATTTTTTTAATTTAAACCTTACAAACCGTTGAGTATGTTTTATACACACAATTTCCCTATTGTGTACACAAACCATGCCTCAAATTGATTTCAACAAACAAAAAACGATTTCGATATGCTTGAAAATATGTATACGTGTCTTTGATATCATTTTTAGATCAACGGTAGTACCTATGACCATTTTACATCAAAACTTGCAATACAAGTAACACGAAGAAGTTAAGAAAAATATCACACAATCTTGGATGATCATGAGAATCCAAATGAGGGTCTCTTTATTGTGTGTACATACCAAAGTAATGATTCGTCTGCATGTAGATGTCAGTCCACGAGGCAATCGAGCACTTCTTCACAAATTTGAATTGTTTTAAATCTCAAATATGTAAACAATTGTGTGTTTCTTGTCATTTTATAAAAATTACCGGTTTTTTGTCATCTTCTGTTAAAAAAATAGTTAATGAGCTTAAAATATATAGATTTCGGTGAAGATTTTTCCCTAATTAAAACCACAAAATGACAGTTTGTTACAATTCAAATTAACGCAAGTTTTGAAGAGAAGAATAATCAGATGCGCCCATTTAACCTAGTTTTGTCATGTCATCTATTAAAACCCACGTCATTTATTAAATGACCGGTTGGTTAAGAGTAGTCGGTCACAAAACATTAAAACAATCAAGGTCAAACTAAATAATGGTTAAATTGTACAAAAAAAAATAATATAAGGGTTAAATTGTCCCATTTCGGCTCCTAAATCTAGTATTCCAAATTAACAAAAGACTAGAGTTTTGTCCCATTTCGGCTCCTAAATCTAGTATTCCACCTACATCCTTATCCAGATGGCTTTCTTGGTTTGAGCTTTTCACGGATAGTGATCTCAAAACTTCATTACCATAATCCCATATCCTAGCATAGTGATCAGTCAACTTGCCATCAATTAGTGTGAATGCTAATGCCCTTGCCCTTTCACACTGACCTCTGCTAAGCTTTAAAGAATAATTCTGTAAAAAATCAGCTTTCATTTCTTTGACTTTTGTTTTGGGGTTGCGAATTAGGTCATTAAGATAATGGTTAGCAATCCAACCCGGAGTTATCAATGACCCGAGGTTGTATTTTCGTGCACAAACATGTTTCTTTTCCAAAGATTTCACTTGCCAAGTTAGTTCATTCCCCATCCAAGATGCCCAACATCTAAATGGACACTTATTCTCATCACTTTTTTTGTCACGTCGTACTAATATCCTAGAACGATCACACTTGGCAAACCTCAATTGGTAACCATTAGCCACCGCATAATTTGTTAGACAAAGCTTGAACTGTTCTGGGCTTTCGTATTTTTCCCCCAAGTGTGGTTCCATTTTATTCCAGGGTATCCTGGGGTTGTGTACAAGATATTGGTCCCCAAATTTCTGACCTATATCATCTCCTTTGTCAGATTCTTCATTTGAAAAGCTCCATTCAGCATCATCAGATGATATGTCAGGCAATTCCACTTCTCCCTGTACCAAATCATTCAAAAAAGGATCCCATATTGTTTTGTCCATTGTAGAAGCAACATATTCTTCTCCATCAGAGTCATCATCATCTGTTTCATTCAAATCCTCCATATAAACTTCAACTTCGACATTTGAAGTTAAAGTCATACCTGTTGGTTAAGATTCCTTAAAGAATCAATGCATACAACAAAAAGCAAATAACACATTCTATCTATTATAGAAGACAGTGAACGATAATTTCAAGTCGATTACCTTTTTTCCTTGTGATTAACCGCTGATTTTACCGCTGATTCCTCAAAGCTTTCCCTCGACAAACCCTTTTTTTACAGAATGATCGATTGAAGGTGAAAAGCGTGTCGATATACTGGAGTCATATGACACGTACACTAAAGAGAACGGGAAACCTAGGTTTACTGAATAAAATAGATATATCACACGTTTTGGGAATATAATAGTGGTTTAATCGAACAAAGAAATAATATAATTGTTTTTTTAAGCATTAACCAATAATATAGGTTTTTCTGGGATTACCCCATATTATAATTTAACTAATTACTTATGTATATGTGTAACGCCCGTAAATCTGGCCTAGTCAATTTAGAGATAATAGGGGTCGAAAACGACTTTTTGAAAAAAGATTATTTAGAATAAATAATCATAACCAAGTTGTATAATATGTCTCAAGGGTTCCGTACATATAAAGAACGCCGAAAACCGAGTTATAACGAAGAAGTTATGGCTCATCGAAGTTTTACGGCAAAACCGACACGGCACCGGGAGACGTAAACAGTGAATTTACGATAGAGGACTTTTCAGCCTTAGTGATCTAAACAAAATTTGTAGTACACTTTAAACCGAGAACATACAAAAAAAAGAACGCCCAAATCTGACTTCGTATGAGGAAGTTATGAATTTTCTAAGATTTTGCATAGCAGTGGACGGCCCGAAACTCGAATTTTAGTTCGAGCGGTTTTTGGCCTACGCAACCTAAAAGAGAGTTGAATATCTCATTAATAGGAACTCAACGATAAAAATACAGACGAAAACAGAGTCTGTATGAAGGAGTTACGAATTCTTCGCGGTCATTTAACAGTCTAATCTCCTCCTACTATTAAATTTAAGATCAGTCGATATTTAGCCAACGGAGTCTAAATGAAAGTTGTAGATCTTGTTTTTACCTACGTATGGATATAAAGAACGTCAAAAATGGAGCTCGTATGCGAAAGTTACGGGATTTAGAAGTCGGCAGGGTGCTGTGCGAAATCGGGTGACGTGGTTGAATATGGGCCAAGGCTTTCTCCCCAAGGCAAGCCACCAGATGGTGACACAAGGACATGGACTCGACGAGTAGAGCAGGATTCCGGCCTATAAATAGTGGTGTCGGGTTCCCTCATTCTTCACACCTTCCCAACTTCACCTTCTCTCTCTACTTTCTCTCTCTAAGCTCCCAACCCCCCCCCCCCCCTAAGCCTAGGTAAACCCCCTTAGCACCCGAAGGAAGCCCCGAGGCTCCCGAAGCCCCGAGAAAAGAGCCTTTCGGCTCGGGAACACTGCTCCGGCGAAGCCCGGTTTTCGAGAAAACCCGATGTAAGTGAATAAAAATGAATAAAAATATATTTCTTCGGAAATGATTTGATAACGTATTTATCATGTTTTTCTGGAAACAAATTCCACAACACTTTTCTTTAAAAGGTTACTCTGATTTTCAAACAAAGCATAAACAAATCGGTCTTTTCTGGCCGTGAAAATGGGGATGTCACAGTTGGTATCAGAGCATTAGTTTAAGCGAACTAGGAATAAGGATTTTTTTCTAGACTTAAACTTAGAATGCTAAGCGATGATCGTGAGGAGTGTGTCTAATATATTTTAGGAAGTACACCTGAATAGACACAAGCACTGGCTTATTTAGGGAAGATGATTAAATTGCTTTTATGTGCTAAATGATTTATGCTGCCTTATATGCTTTATGATGTTATCGTTTGATCGGATCTATGGTCTGTTGCCGACCGGATCTGGAAATTTTATGTGTTCAGATTTCTAAACATTTAATTACGGTGTTAGAACTGACATGTAACTTTTCGGAGTAATAAGGAGGAATATGCGCCTAAATCTTCCTCTATCTATATTCTCGTCTCGATACACCGAACGCCTGCTTTGGTGTATAGAATGTCATGATAAGGACTCATAGCAGACTGAGCAAATGGAGGAAATGAGAAGGCTTACGATATTGAATGATACATATCAGAAGATATTTTAAGAGGGATATCTTGCCTTTAGAACACGTCTAAGAAATAATACGTCTAGTACGGGAGAAATACACTTTCGATTAGCAGAAAGAAAGATTTTTGGTATAATCCATGAAGTTATCCAATCGTCTGACATTTCCATCACCAACCGAGTTGAAGCAGAATTGATGATTGAAGATACGCATGGAAGAAGTCC